GTATTACTCTGTAGGAAGGAAACAGAAGACTACTCATCATGCTTGCCACATACTTGCGGTTACAACAATGTATTTGTGACTAAGGAAACATGTCTAGAAACGGAGATAAGCGTCCTACAATTAACTTCATGAACAAAGTGGTGTAGAAATGACACCTCCATATTAGTGTAAGAACGACATTTCAACGGTTACGAACCTTCCTTCCGTTTAACAGCATATTCAGCAGCAAAGGATCAGAGGAATTATAAACAGAATCTAAGGCAAATACATCAGCGTATAATATAAAAGAATATCTTGACAAAGACCTATCATTATTGGAAATAGTAGTGGTGCACACAAAATTTATTTCTGTTTAAGGTTTCATAAAATAAGTTTCAGTTATAAATGCTCGTTATCTGTCTCCTTCTCCTGAGAAATGCTGTTATTCCCACGGCAATTTTCCAAACTATAATCAGAATTAAATAATAAACCATCGGATTGCTAAAGAACCTCTGCGACCTGAAAGGAAAAGCTGCGATGGAAGATGAAGACTGCTGAAGAACGTAGTGTGACTCGAAGACTAAAATAGAAGCCGGTGATCTCTGCATTTAAACAATTATTTTATCCAGTTAAGTTACTGTCCTTGAGGCTTACTTCGGAAGCTGAAAACCCGACTAGTAAAAGTAAAAAGTAAAAACAACATATAATATAGAAGTACCAAGTCCTGAAACATCGTTCACAATGAGCCTAAGGTGGATCTAGTGAACGAAATATTGCAAGATACATCTGATACTGCAAGTGATCAAACACCGATATACTACCCTGCTAGCAGCTGACACTGATAATTAGTTGGTCAAACGTTCGCAGGCTATTTGGTACCTTTGTTCGATCCATAAGTAGCTAAATGAAAACTTGATTAGCAGCCTACGTTAGCGTTTGTAGCTTCCCAAAATGAGTGATCATTCAGCGAGGAACAACTCTGTTAGTTCACGACATTTTCAGTGAACCTTCCGCTAACAGTTTTTACCATCTTCGCGTCTATTGGATGTCAGAAGGCCGTTTGGAGTAGATCTATTACTATTCTTTGCGTGTTTTTTGAAGTCACCAATTTCAAATGCTTATTGGCTTCGCCACTTATTAAATCTGTTCCACAAAAACAGACATGGTTCCTGTCAATCAATATAAGATAACCGATTTTACGGCTTTTCGATGTCAGACTAGAAAAACATCACCTTGGCTATCTGGCATTATCGGACGAAATATATACGGATCGCAAGAGAAGTTTCCTGAAACTGCTGCCGCGGCTAAAAAGCAATAATACCCACATACTTTGGAAATGAATGGACCCAACGCATATCCATACTAAGCCTCAATGATACATTAAGCAATTCAAGCAGCATTTGCTGAGTCGCAACTACAGATGTCCGAAGGAAAGCTAGACTGTCAACTTCGTTTCTTAACATGCTTTGTTGCTGCAATTGCCATTAAGAAGATTCGATTTTATACAGTGAGTGCCACCTTCCACTAAAACGACAGGCATGAAAGCAAGGAAGCCCTATACTTTACTTTTGGCTTTACCTACGTGAAACGCTGATGTATGTAGAAAATTAGATAAACTACATTTGTAAACAAGAACAACATGGAGAAAGTAGTTATTACCTTGTCCTGTATCGGATAAGTAAAGAAGATTAACATCCTTTAACATGCGGGTTTTTAGGCAAGGCAATGCATAAAATGCCGTGACAGAAGATTCAGTGTCTGTACCTAGACGCAAAATGGGTTAAATTGCTCCGTGCATTTTAGACGCTATCAGTGAAGAAATGACATCTGGTATCACTTCAAAATATTTGTATAAATTCGATTTTTTCCGCACTAAAACAACGTCAACTTGAACGTGTGGGCATCCGGTAGTTAACTTACCCAATTAAGATACGACAGCTAAGATGGAGCTCTACTTGAAATAGTCGTATTAGAATAAAAAAACAAAGGATGTCAGAGTTTGGAGCGTTTGTGTTGAACAGTCGCTCAGTACTGCTACCGAAGTAATCTGTAGGCGAATACCCCGAACCGACTAATTACGGATCAATCACTCACTACCAAGGGCTCAAGAGGAATTAGCATTGAAGATAAATCTGGATCTGCGATCGTGGAGCGTCCACTACGATAAATTGGCTGACAGGTCTGATTTAGGTGTTTCGACCTCTGTCCCGTCCTAGCTGGCAGACAAATGATGGCTGACAACTCCAGCACCGGTGGGCGATACGACTCTTCTTTAGACATGTAGGCAAACAAAGCAGGTCGGCCACTCGGACAGCTCGCGATGACGACCGATCACGCATACACACGTAGAAAGAGACGTGCATAGCCAGAGCAGAGATTAGAAGTCAACCGACGTACGGACGGGACGGCCAGGCAGGCAGGGCCGGGCCGATGGTGCTTGTATGTCGAAAGAACACTCGAGCGCCGTGCTAACGATATGTCTGCAAAGAAAAAGTGACACACCGGCGGGAAACACAACAGCCGACAGACTGACGACGAAAGGGTGGGTGGGTGGCTGGAATCGTAGTCGAATTCGGCGAGGCGAGCTTTCCTTCATGCCCCCGTTCAAAGAAAAAACCCCTTCGAATTGAAAGGAATAAATTGACTTGTTCGCAAAAAAGGATCGAAGAGTCGAAAAGGAAACGACGGAATTCAAAAAACAGTTGAAAACTATAGTTTCATTCATGGCACTGCTGATTATGTGATGCTCTCCATCGAAAATATCGTTCGTTCCAGGCTCTTTCCTGACTAGCCGAATAAAAATTAAAAAAATAAATTTAGCAAAATATTATTTTTGTGGCACTGCAGCTGCTCTAATATCATAGAGGCTGCAATCGTTCTTTACCATGAGCTCTTGGACTTGTGTAAGGTCGTAAAACATACGGTTATCAGTGTCCAATTGGAGCAAAAACGGAGAACAGCGTTTTCATTACGAATGAATGTTCTTTTATGACAGTATCGTTACAAAACTCAATGGGAACTTGACCATTCAACTGTCAACCGGATTGACGTAACTGTAGTCCACAGCAAAGAAGTGGAAAGGCACAAATCGGTGCAACAATGTACAAGGGTCAATCAGCATACCAGGTCTGACATCTCGATGAGGAGACAACCCAAATTAAAGAAACCACAACCACTGTAGTTTAGCAGCCGATACAGCAGAAATGCGATTTTATTCCACGGATACGAAAAACGGGATATATTTACATATAGTCAAGAACATATGCAAAAAAAGAAACAGGAACAACTTCAGCAACGACAGCCAAACCATCATGTTTAATCAGCTGC